TGGGCTGCCAGAAGAACGAACAAATCTGTCTTGTAAGAAGTACAGCCAGAATGCTCCTTAGAAGCAAGGATGGCGAGACTCTGTCTCACATACTTTGGACATGCCATCAGGAGGGCACAGTCCCTGGAAAAGGACATCATGCTTGGTAAACTAGAGGGTCAGCAAAAAAGAGGAAGACCCTCAACAAGATGGATTGACACAGTGGCTGCAACAATGGGCTCAAGCATAACAATGATCATGAGGATGGCGCAGGACCAGGCAGTGTTTCATTCTGTTGTACATAGGGTCGCTCTAAGTCAGAACTGACTCAACGGCACCTAACAACAACAACAACACGTAGATTATTGTGCAAGCCCCAAAAGGTGCAAGGTTATTCAGCAATTACAAAGGTTTAATGTTTCTTGACCAATAATTGATCCAATAGATTTTTTTTTCAGGACACTTTGAGAGGATAAAACATCTGCAAGAACTGTTATATCATGGTTTCCAATTTGATACCCACAGAGAGTAAAGAGGAGAATTGAGGTATCACATATGCTTATATATACATATATATATATACACATATACATGCATATATATACACACATGTATATTTGAAGCCCTGGTAACACAGTGCTATGGTTAAGCGCTCATCTCGTAACTGAAAGGTTGGTGGTTTGAACCCACCAGCCTCTCGGCAGGAGAAAAGACCTGGAGGTCTGCTCCTGTAAAGATTACCCCAAAACCAAACCCATTGCCATCCAGTTAATTCTGACTCATAGCTGTCCTATAGGACAGAGTAGAGCTGCCCCATAGGGTGCTTTCACATCTTTCTCTGGCAGAGCAGCTGGTGGATTCAAACTGCCCACCTTTCGGTTAGCAGCCAAGTGCTTAACCACTGTGCCACCAGGGTTTTGTAACCCCATAAAGATTACAGCCTAGGAAACCCTATGGAGTAATTCTACTCTGTAACACATGGGGTCGCTATGAGTTAGAATTCACTTGATAACAATGTGTTTATATATATATATATACCTTTGCCCCTTGTACCTACAAACATCAGTACAGAGTCTAGTAGTCTGAATCAAAATACTCCTACACTTGGTGGTGAGCTCCTAGAATTACCCCGATAATTTCCTTCAGTTTCAAATAAAATATTCAGATAATTGGAAGAAATCAAGATAATTATATCAGTTCGCTATTGTACTTTATACATTTATAGATTTCAACATAGGCTCAAAATGTGAACGTCCAAAATGTGGAACCCTACCTTTAAATTTTGTAAAGTGGATTAAGAGGTCAAATTTAATTTGATGAGGTATCATTGGAAGGCTCATAGGTACATTGCAATATGCTCAGCGATTAAATATGTTTTTAAAATCAAATCATTAAATTTTCCTTAAAGTTATTTTCTATTCAATATTATTTTTTTGTTAAGTAGTATTCACTTTGTGGGGACTGATGAACTATGGTTTAGTACAAAGGTAACATAAGAATACTGATTTGTTTCCAGTGCCCATTAATGAGGCCCAATATCTTGCAGGTCTTTTTTTTTTGCCCCCACCACCACATTGAACTGAAATCCTCAGGGGACAAGTCTGTTTCTTGGCTGGCAACCCCTAATGCATAGAGCGCAGAGTAGGGTTTCTCAAACTCAACACCATTACATTTTGGGTCAGACAATCCTTTGTTGTGGGGGAGGCTGTCCTGTGCACTGTAGGGTGTTTAGTAGCATCCCTGGTCTCTGCCCACTAGATGCCAGTAGCATCCCCCCTCCAAGTACCAACCAAAAACGTCTCCGAAAAAACACAAAAAAACCTGTTGCTGTCGAGTCAATTCCGACTCACAGCGACCTTACTGGACAGAGCAGAACTGCCCCGTAAGGTTTCCAAGGAGTGGCTTGTGGATTCGAACTGTCAACCTTCTGGTTAGCAGCTGTAGCTCTTAACCACTGCACCACCAGGGCTCCAAAAATGTCTCCAGACATTGCCAAATGTTCCCTGGGGGCAAAATAGCCTCTGGTTGAGAACCATGGCCAAGTGCGTTACCTCACTGTTGCCCACATTAAGGTTTGCCTGACCATTTCCATCTACCTACACGTTAGCTATGAACCAGCCCATTCAGTAAATATTTATAAACATGGGTAAAGTTAAATATTTAATATTGAGGGTATGACAAATGTCTGGAAATTGAAACCACAGATGCTAAATTTAAATTATTGAGTTTTGTTAGACTCAAGGACACTAACTTGGAATTCGCTGACTTTACTTAATCTGTGCATACTCTTACTTTAGTTATATGATTATTAAGTATCAGATCTGGGGCACTGTGTTATCCTCTATAGGGCTACCAGAGAGCAAACAATGTGCTGTCCCTCTCAAAGAGCTTTGTCTATCAAGCTGTGGGAATACATTGTAATATATTATTAGATTCAGGGCTGACATTTTCAAGAAAAATATTCAAGTGTGCATTTTTGGAGGTGGGGTGGGGTAACAAAAGCATACTTGAATTTTGTGTCATTTTATTTAAATAAAGAATTTGAGTAGTAATGCAGTCCAAGAGGGAAAACGTTCCTGGTGCTCATAAAATCTGAATTGTTTTCAAATGTTGACACCGTTACCAAGAGTATATATATAAGATATATAAAATAGCAAAAGCATAAGCAAAACCACAAGGAACCTTATGTAAAAACTCAAGTGATTTCTATTAATAGTAACAACAACAGATGGCTTATTTAATAGCAGTAGGCCTAAATAAAGGTGAAATTTTTACTAAGATCTCAAAAGCAGTGGCTTTTAGGAAATATCTCCATAGTCCAGGTCCCAAATTTAGCATTCTGTCTTTCATTCTACCTGGATGATTCTAGTGTGAGAGAAGTTTACTTTGTTCTCAATCACTTAACGATTTTGTTGGGCAGAAAAAACAAATGAGATACATGAAATAAGGTAGAACTATAATGTGGGTACTACTTCTATGTTACCTTTGTATTAAACCATAGACACGCAACAGGAGGAGTTGGAAGGAGGGCTTGGAACACCTAAGAAGGCTCAGTGGAGGTGGGACTTGGGATGAGTCTTAAAGGGTGGGACTTGATTCAGACCCTTGCTACTCAAAGTCTGGTGTAAGGACCAGCAGTATAGGCACCACCTGTGGTTGCTGTAAGTGGGAATTGACTACTCCACGGCAACGGGTTTGGTGTTTGGTTTGGGAGCTTGTTAGCAATGCAGCATCTTGAGCTCACCCCAGACTTGGTGAATCAAAACCTGCATTTTAAAAAAAGAACCCCTGATGATTTCTTTCTATGCACATTAAAGTTTGGGTGATCCTGCAGGTTTCTGGTCAGTCTGGCATTGTTAAGTGTAAGCTGGGCTGGTGGGAAAAGGCGACTGGAGTGGGGCGCACCATCAGGTTAGAAGTAGTGAGAGCCCGGCCATGAGGAACTAAGAGTAAGGGAATGTAATATAATTTATCATCACTAAAAGTAGACAGAAAGCACAGAGGTAGTAGTAAGTTTATCACCAATCACAGGGGGACCTGGGTTTGAATTCCCCAGTTCTACCACTTCTTAATTGTGTGATACTGGGGACAAATTATTTTACTATGCTGAGCCTTTTCCTTCTTCCGTAAAATGGGTGGTAGTGGTGGAGAACCCGTCCTACCTCAGAAGACCCACGTACTGATCCAATAAGGTAATGCATATAAGGCACTCAGCAGTCCCTGGCACAAAGAAAATGGCATCCATTAACACGAATGATACTGATGACAGTAATAATAATACCCTATCCTTTGGTAAGGATAAAAAAAGGACAAGAAAAACATTTACTGTGTGTCTACTGGAACCCCCACCCCCCACCCCAGTGTCTTGGGTACAGTCCCATAACAACCTGCAAAGTAGGGAATTTCATCCTCATTTTAAACTGGCGCTTGAGTATTACGTTTTCTTTTTCTTCTTTTTAAATGTTATTAACCCCTCCTGTGTTCCCGAAGGAGGTCTGGTAGCGCAGTGGTTAGGAAGCTAACCAAAAGGTCGGCAATTTGAATCCACCAGCTGCTCCAAGCTCCCAAAGGCGCCTTCATAACGAGATTCCTGGGATTGTTATTACTATCATTGTTACCGTTGCTATTTTTTGTTAGGAACCCCTCAAAAGAGTTTATCTACCTCCCAGAGTGGAACTTTAAATGGGCGGAGGCGGGGAGAGAGTTGCCTAAACCACTACAGTGTGGATGTTGAATTCAAGAATAAGTCCTGCCAATGATCCGATCTCATTTCCCACGCCTCTGATATCCTCATTCATTTCTCTGCCGATGTCCCATCTGTTTTCCAATTTCCCTCTCCCTTGCACGTGAAGAACTTGTGGTGAAGAGAAGCCCCAGCCTGGCCGTCCTCCGCCAACTGCTAGCCCGAGGCGGAGGGCTGGCCTCAGTTTAAGTCCCCCGAAGCATGTGTAGGGGTGGGGAATCCGGCAAGCAGGAGAGTGGCGACAGACACGCCCAGGGGCGCGGCCCCAAGCTGGGGGGAGCGAACGGCGGGATTGAGCAGGGGGGTCTACCGCTCGGCGGCTCCCTGTCGCCCCACCCTGGACCAGGTCGGGGAGCTAAGAGACGTCCACCACTCCCCAAGTTGCAACTCCAGACGTCGCGGGGGCTGTGGGGGCCCCAGCCTCGCCCGCCAGCCCGCCTGCGACGTGGCCGCGTCCGGGACGCTCTCGGATCCCCGAGTCTCCCAAACTCTCCCATTCTCTCTCCAGGCCGGACAAGGTCCCAGGTCTCGCCGTTCCCGGCTTGTCCTCTCCGCGCGTCGCCAGAGTCGCCCCCCGCCCCGGCTTCAGCAGCGCTCCCCGAGCCCCCCCGTCGCCTGCCGGCTGCGGGCCGGGGGCCGGGCTACCGGCGGGAC